ATATATATATATATATATATATATATATATATATATATATGTATATATATATTCTGCAAAGGCCATCAGGTTACGTTTGTTGCGGTTAGTACCATTTAACCCACTTACAAAACATCGTATCGTAACTATGCTTCTTCAATGGACTGCCTCTGAAAGGACTGTTTATCCAAATAGTCACCCGGTGTTGCAAACAAGGTTATTGCGTATCCGGTAATCTTTTGCCAGTTCATTCATATAATCGTACCCAGGAAGTGTATTTTCATCACTCCCTACAGCAGATCCTCGGGACTGTGGGGTTTACCCCGTCTGCTGTTAATTTCACCGAGTAGTGTAATAAAAATGTGTCCCAGAATCCGGATTTATAGGCTGACTCGACGAAATGTTTCATTCAGTTCAATTGCGCTTCCTCCCCTTCTTTGTTGAGTTACAAGCTGTCGCTTTTTTGCATGATTAATTTCAGCATTCCCGAAACAGAACTTTTGATGGTAGTCTAGTAAATACTGTGTCAATTTTTTCTCCGTTGTAGAACGAATTCTTGAGAAGTCTTTGGATGAAGTCTCTGACAAACTGACAGATAATGTGAACGGATGAGTTCCGCCATTGAACTACCATCGTTGGCACAGCCCGTGGAAAATCCTGGTTCCTCAGGCTCGTTTTTAAACAGTGGTATTGATCGCAGTATTGAATGTGATCGATTGACAGTCGATACTTTTTCAGTTATACATTATCCCGTTTCAAATAGTGGTACTTCGTTTTCCAAATGTAACTATTCCATACCAACTACGACTGAGCTAACAATACCGAATTCGTATGATGCCGACAGAGATTTAGTTCAATCGGACGCTTATGGAACGTATGTTTTACAACCAATGGATTCCCAGGTTCTCATGGAGGAATTCAGCGAGTCTTTTGAACGAAACACTGTGCACCGATTGGATGGTACAGAGGCGCGTTCGTTTGTAGACACAATTCCTGAAGCTCATTCTCGAATTGGTGATGGTGATCCTATTTCGGAGTGTTCATATCCATATCCTTTGCAGTCAGAACTGATTGATCGACTGGAGTTCCCGGCGGCATCACAATACGATGTCTATGTATGTGAACAAAAATTACAGAGTTTACCTCCGGCCGAAAGTTTCTCTGCCAGTTGTTACGAGCCGTTCGTACTCACAGCAGTTAATCCTTTGTTATCTTCACACGTTAATCCTGAAAGTATCTCTACAGAAACCGACTATTTAAATATGACGGTACCCCAAGTATCTTCCACCACGTCCGGTCACATTGCCTATCCCGTCGAAGTTTGTGATCGCATTCATTTTGTATCTAGTGGGATTTCGGAGCCTTGTGATGAAGTGGTCGCCCACTCAGCTCGTGGATATCAGCCTAATCCACTTACTTATACGGAACCATCACAACAACTGGAATACTATCCTATTCAATCATATGGACAAAGTGAAATGCAATCCGTCACGGATCAGTACCATGCTTCCGCATACGGGACCTTGGGGTCGGATTATGCCGTTGATCAGTCAGAAAATCAAACTGGTTATTGTGATACGTCATGCACTCAAGATTTTCCTGAAAATCACCCGGTTGATTTTGTGTATCAGGTTACTTGTACCTCAGAAAACACCCATCCAGTTAATTTCGAGTCAATCTCTCACACCTATCAAACTACATACACGGAATTTCAAAATACGATCCCCGTCGTAACTGAACAATATAATGAGACCAATTGCTTTCGTGAAGCAGCGGTGGAACATGACAGGAGAAATTTATCCACATGTGGACCTTACACCATGGTTTCTCAGTTCTCTGACCAAACAATTGTGCCGATTGAATCTGTGGTTCTGTTTGAATCCAATATCCCGGCATCCTCAAATGAAGTCCTGCCGCCACTTATTGAACACCCGGTATCCGAAGCCTGGAACGGTGCAACAAAATCAACTGCATATGACCTGCATTGTGTGAACGTACAGCCTGAAAATCAAGGGATTTTGACTACTAGAGTAAGTGATATGTTAGCTGTGGTACATGCTTCCTCATATTTATATTGTCTACTCTCCTCATTTGGGATGGCATTCTAGCGCATACGTAATAGACGTCTCATCTAAAGCTCATTAGGTTATCCTAGTTATGAGGTTTAGAGGTAGTGGAGTATCGTAAGCTCCTGTACGGGGGAGACAAGCGTTCCTTTCGACAGTAGTGCTACTGACGGTGGTATACTCGCATGCCTCATGATATATCCCACCTTGCATGATCTGTATTTCATTTTTGCAATGGAATGATTTCAATCAATCGTTCGTAAGCATGTGCTCCACGTTCTCTTCTTACCCCTCCGAGACAAATCCTCCATGCGGTTAAGTGTTTGTAACAGTTAGGCTCACAGATAATGACAGCTAGAAACTATCTAGGTCGTTGTTGGTCAAAGGATATTCGCTGTTAATGGTGCTTAAAAGTAATAGCATCACGCACCATTTTTATCTTCCCTTACACGGCCATGAGTATGCTTTGTGATTTATGAATACCACTGTAATTTTTTATCGTACGGCATGCCTAGCTTGCTGCATATGGACTAAATATCACGAGTCTTACGTGATCGTATACTCAAGTAAATGATTACGACAACAGTGAAAATAGACTATTTTTTTGTTTGATAAAGTGAGCCCATGGATGTGACGGCGGAGACGCATCTGGCTTGTCGCTCGAAGCCTTACAAAGACAACTTTGAAGGGTGGGGGGGGGAACTGACTGAATGAACAGCATTTTTAGTTGGTAAGGGTACCGTAGAACATCAGTTTGCAATTCGGCGAGAGAAAACAATTACTGTTATGCGAATAGAACGAAGAGCATCTGAGTGTGGCATCATCATCATCGTTGAAGATATTAGTCGCATTGGAAACAGAGGTCAATATTTTGAGTGCACCCAATTAAAACGCTTCGTGAATATACAGAGAGCATTTGGCTTGTGTGTTGAATCACTTCGCAAACCAAGTAACTTCTTACGTAGCGAAGAATCCGTCAATTGGCCGGACCTTTTCAGTTTCCGTTTAGACAACCATTAACCATGCACTTTCATGCGGCGGTTTTGGGTTCTGTCTTTTGGCTGCCCATTTAGATGAAGAAATAGAAGAACGACCGGAAAGTTGAAAGTAGATTTGAAGAGAGAATGGAGAATTCTTGTAGACTGGAGTTGCGAAGAAATTTAGATCCACGAGCGCCACTGTTCAAGACAATCAGCCATATCATTCAGTGTCTCTAACCATTGAATATAATGATCTCGAGGTCTCCATTCAGCTAGCCTAATACTACCTATATGACCGAGCCTCCTGGTCAGGGTTTTCATATCCTCGTGCCAGGTCTTATTTTGACTCGGTTGGCTTTTTCCACCCACTACCTGCCTCGACAAACATTGCATGCCGAGACAATCTACGTGATGATATACGTAACACGTCCCAATCAACGAAATCTATGGAGGTCGACCACTTGCTCTCGTGGGTGACCACTGATACCTAAAACTACATCTAACCTGCGCATTGCTCGTCCGATTT